ACAATTTTTGTTTCTTGCATCTTTTACTTAAAGCATTAGCTGCTGTCATGTAATTTTTTTAAACAAATTCTATGTCAGATAAGTACTAATTACATTTGCATATTTCATTTATCCTCACAGTTCCCTAACACTTTTTAAACAGTAATTGGTTAAAGGTGATTAGCATGTCATTCAGATAGTTACTAAATCCTTCTGCTGAAATCTACTGGAATTATTAATCCTATCTACTTTCAGAAGGGCATCACTTAAGACATTTTCGCATTTTAGTGTGATTCACTGAAGATTTAAATACTATAAAACTTTCACACATTATTCAGTATCCCTTTAAAGTTTAACAACATGTGTGAAAACCATTACAATTAAATTTATCAGATACAAATGATAATCTCTAAGTGTAAAGTACACAATTTAAAGCCTCTTTCAAAAACTTTTCTAAGTATAAAACAATTTACATAAATGACTGAAACTGAGCAACTTAAACCTCTATATCAAAAGAGTAAAATTACAGTGGAATGAAACAATTTTGATAAAATATTAGAAAGAGGTTAAATATCATAATTGAATTATTAATGCATCAAGCATGACTACCTAACTAAAATTTAAAAGATTTTGTGAAACAAGGTTGAATTATAAAGTAACATGAAGAATAAAATGCACTGAAGAAGTATGAAATTTCTAACATAGCATAATACACGAATTTGATAATTAATATAACTTCTTAAAACTTTATTTTATCTTTGAAAAAATTGTATGTTCTTAGTAGTAAAAGATCTATGTTCTTGGAGGTCTATCCAATTTTAAAAGATGTAGAAATTCACCTGTTGTAAAACAAAAGTCAGGAAATAAAATGTATTTTAGAAACAAATACTTTCTTTTAGCTTTAAATATATTTAGGGCTAAACAACACAGTCTAATTTTATTTTATTAAACTTTTCTATAAAGGGAGAACATTGAAAAAACAGCAAGAAAATAACATTCAAATTGTATTTTTCAGAACAATTCATTTTTAACAATGAATTTATCATGATGTCAGTATTCCATATAAAACTATACTCAAATACTAGGTCTGTAAATTTCTTTTAGATAATTTCTATTATGAAAGGTAGATAAATTTTATTTGTTCCTCTGGGAAATACAATTTAATGTGAACTCTAGAGAAATCAAGATTCATGCTCAAAACTCAGCATTAAGGCTAATGCCAATGTTGAACATTACTATTCGTGTTCCATAAATGCCATAGTGTATCATGTATTTAGGGTAAGAATGGAAGACTACATATCTATTTCTTATTTATCCCACTATATATACTTATGAATGCAGTGACTTTACTTGGTAATTCAAAATTGCTTATGTACTACAAACCCTAGTCACTCAAGTGACATTCTTAAAACTTGTGGTATGCATCAGTTGTTTGAAAGTTTGTTTTTCTTAAAAGTTTTTATTGTATTTGAAATATTAGAACATATAGCAAAAACAGGTAAATCTTCAGCAAACAGTTTATATAGCATCTTCATAAAAAATTAATCCCTCCCCAAATGAACTAATATTTTCTTTAAAAACAATTGCAATGATTAAATTAAAAAAAGATAACTGGAAAATTTGGTGTTTTTGTGCAAAGGTATTAAGCCACAAGATTGTTTACAATCAATACATTTATCCAAGGAAGTGACATATATGATCACAAGACTATAATCTTTCAGTTGCTCACATAAAAGACATGCTAAAACAGATGTTCAGGTATACAAAATAACACTGATGGCTTTAATCTCAATGTTCAGTTAACCCTTTTGGAAGGAATACTTGTCTGAAGTCACTTTATAATCTATACTGTGTAAAAGCAAGTATGTTAGATATGTATGCATGAGAAAGGTGAGAGCTGTTACAATATTTTTCAGGTATATTGCTAGAAGCTTTTAAAACATGTATGGTGAATTCTATATCACGAAGACTAACATGATTCACTGAAAAGACAGTCACTGGTACTTCAAATTATTAGGTGACTATCAACCACATATTCTAAAAATGTAACCTGTTTTCACTTTATATTGTATTTCAATGAAAACAAGAGAGATATCATAAGCATATGTAAAAATTTCACACAGATTAGGTCCCCCTATGTGCTCTAGCCATATATTTTGACCAGGTTTGAATATCATAGACATACTTTTACTTCATTTTAACTGACATCCCTCCCCCAATATTGTCTAATTATCAGCTCTCTCGTGCCTTCAACTGAATTTATATTAATACAAAGGAAACTTTGTTATTCTAAGAAATTATAATGCTATAACTTGCAGAAACTATTTCAGTTTCTACACATACTATTACAAAATCAATTTCCGAAGCACAAGTTAATTTAAATTCAACCACTGAACAATACAACCTTATGGCATCACAGCAAGTAAACACTTAGATCCAATCAATATCCATAGAAATCACACTGGAACTAGTGCAACTCTGTCAGCTTAAGGGATCAGTCTCCCTTCGAGTTTGATTTATGGCTTTACATTTTAGCAAATACAGGACAACTGCCTTGCCTTAGCTGGAGCTCTGACATAGGTGAGGGTAGCTAAAAGAGGAGCTGTCTCTTTAAGATACCCTGCTCTGTCTCTGATCCCACGTGGAAACCAACATTAGCAGCACTTCCACATCAACTTTAATATGGTGCAAATAATGCATCGTTTTTTAATCTGAAGAAAAATAGAGATTGCATGCTTTGTAAAATGCAAACCAAGTGAAGTAAGTATGCTAGACCAAGTCACCGGTTCTCTCCTAGAACCTCACTATATGATTTTCTGCCAGTTCACTCTAAGGCACGCTGCTTTTAACTCCGCATTGTACAAATAGAATACACTTTACAAAGAAGAACCCCAAACACTGAGATCCATAATCAATCCTAAAGATATTCCATAGACAGGACAGGTTTACATTTTTACACAGCATTACATCTTAACTGGGAGACAGACAGAAAGGCAATCTCGAGGTAATTCATTTCGCGCCACCTCCCCTTTCTTCCATCTGTGCTTCTACCACCACCACCCAGACAAAGAAAAGGAAGGTACAAAGTTTGGCAAATGTAGCAGTTACCTTCTTCACAATCAGCTCCACATTGCCCCAAAACTGTGCAGCTCGTGCATTCCCACCTCCCGCCACCATTCAAGGAAGAAAGGGGTTTTTCACGTTCTCGCAGTGTCGGGAATGAGCTGTAAAAGGGCTTTTGCCTTTCTAAAGCGATCATCAACAACAAAAATAGGCATCAATTTTAACTCCTTGCTCTCCGAGAGTATTAAAAACTCAACACGAGGGTGTGCGGGTTCAGTGCGATCATTTAGGGGCCAATTCGGAAGCTCGGGCGACTTGGGGATTTTTTTTAGGAATTTTCGAGCTATTTTTAATTTTGTTATATGCCTCAGTTCTCCCTCCATTTTGGTTGTTTATGATACTGACAACAAGCTGTCCCTGCTCCCTCTCCGGATCTCTCCTGCTTTCAGTTAACGAACCCCGCTCCCCAATGCTGCCCACCCTCAACCCCGCTCGCCTTCCTAAGCTTCTCTTCCAAACCCGCACGAGAAAGGAAAAGAAAGTCTCCGGATCCGCCGAAGTCAAAAAGGAGGCAAATTCGCTTCTTTATGCGGGGAGGGGGGGGGGGGGAAGCAAAAAAAAAAACTTTTGTCCAATGAAAAGAGGGAGAAGGGCGCTGGATGTCCCAAAGTGACTCCAGATCTCCCTAAAGCTTCATCTGCGGGCACCCCGGCACCCCGTCCGGGAAGACTAATCCCCTCGCAACGTTTCTGCGCAAAATGTGTCCGATTCGGCGACACGGCTGAATTTTCATTAATTTTCTCTCATTTTGGGGCACCGCGAACTTAATGTCTTCCGCTCCTTCCTCGCTGCTGCTGCTGCTGCTGCTACCGCTGCTGTCACTATATTCACAGCACAGACGCTGGAGCTCAGGGAAGGGAGGGGGTGGAGAAGACACACACATACAGAGAGACGAAGTGTGTGTTGGGGGGGGGGGCCTTTCCCCCCAGGTTCTGCAAAACCCCCCCCCTCCCGAAACCAGGGGGGGGGGGGGGGGGGGGGGCACTTCTTTACCGTTCCAAGAAACCCGGACCGAGGCAAAGGAGAGGGGGGAAGAGAGAGCGGGGAAGAACTCTCAGCCAAGGCTGGAGAAAGCGAGCCTTACTTTTAGGGTGGCTCCCCGGGCTGGATTCAAAGACCCCCCAAGAAGCTCAGAAGGACTAAAAAGAGAGATGGAGCCGCGCAAACCTTCCCCATCCCTGCTCCGGCTGCTGTTGCTTTCCTCTTCGCGTCCCTCCTCCTCCTCCTCCTCCTCCCCCTTCAGAATTTAAATAACCCTAATATTTCCCTGCTGAACCCCGGCTGCAGAACCCCCAACCCACAGCAGACTCACCCCGGGAGCCTCAGCATCCCCTCAGCGCCCGCTTCCCGCCTTTTACAGGGTTCTCCGATTTTTCTGTAATTTTTTCCCCATATTTCGGGCTGGACGCGGCGGGCCTGGAAATTGTTTGCTTTCCCCTCTTTCCAGCAGCCATTGTAGTGTATGCGCTGCGGTGCAGCTCAGCCTGCCGCACACGCCGCGCCCACACCGCCAGCCGCCCACACGCGCCGCGGGTTGGACACCTCCCCCTGTCACTCAGACTTCTAGCCGCGCCCAGTCGGTGGCGCCTTTCGCGCTCACAGCTTGCCCCGTTGGTGGGAGGAAACGCCGCTCGGGGTAGCCCGGGGAGGAACCGAGCAAAGATTGGCCAGTCTGCGGCGGCTTGGCGCTGCCTTTCAAAGAACTCTGGCCTCCCCATTGGGTCAAGGAGCTGTCATTTTCCACCGGGCTGCGGGGCCAGAAATGGGGTAGGCTGCGCCAGTTATAAGGTCCGTTGCCCAAGCCGCTGACGTCTTTCGAATACGAGAGGAGACTTCAAGCTGTGGGTTGAGTTCCATCGTGGTGGCCGAGGTGAGTATTCGCTTCGGAGCGGCGACGTGAGAGCGCGGCTTCTCGCCTGTGGTGCGTGGGGCACCTTCGCTTGCTTCGACAGTCCTCGCTAGAGCTGACTTCCTCTCGGGGCGCAAAATTGCCCGAGACAGACGCTGCTCCCGGCTCTGAAGAGACTGAAGAATGCGGGCGAGGGAAAGACCTTCGAGGGAAAGGTGACCCAAGCAGTTTCCCCGGCTCGTTTCAGGTGTCGCGGTGATCCCGACTCTCTTAGATTCGCTTTTCTTTCGAGGGTGGTCTACAAACGGGCTTTAGGGGTCATTATTGCCACTCACCAGGATGCTCCAGGTTCCCTTCGGCTAAATTACGTGGGAAGGCCCCGGGAGCAGTTCAGTCGACGGAGGTTCAATCCTCCTAAATTTTTCCCTGATTTGTGGTTCGGATTTGGCCTTTCTGCACCCTCTCTTTTTCCTTCCTCAGTTTCTGTTGCGAATGGCGGTGTGCTGCTCCATTGAATGGTATGGAAAGTTGGATTCGAAGCTCAGAGACAGCTGATTTCTTTGTGTTAATAGACTTCCCGAAAGCTTTTCATTGGAAAGAATGCTACGGAAGGAACGTATTCATTTATTACATTTATGTTCCGCCCATTTCCATATCCAAGCAACTCTGGGAGGCTTACAATATAATCAAAGCAAAGATGTAAAAGATATTAGAAACTATTAATAATTAATAGGGGTGAATAGGGATCATTTTTCCATAAATTGCTATCATAGAAGATTTCATAGGATGACACAACGATGAGAAGTTTTTTTGTACATCTTTGCTAGATAGTTTGAGTTTGTCAGGTAGAGGTGGGTACTGTTGACTTGTACCTCAAATAGTCATTAAACAAGGTTGAATCTATAAGTATATACCTAGATGAGAAAATGCCAGGGCTGTGAATCCCAGAATAAGATCACTTCCAAGTTCCATATACTGTTCTCTAGAAAATATCAAGGAAGTGTTATTAACTCATTAGGATTAAAGTAGACTCGAGGAATCTTTATTGTATTTGTCAAGTCTAAACAGAAAGGTTAGTGCAGAAATATAGACCTGAAAAAAAAGTGTCTTTGGGAATTTATTTTCAGTGTTGGGGCTATTTTATTCGTTTCCCAACTCTTCACTTCTGCAACAGTTTTTGGGAGGAATATGTTGCTATTTGCTATTACCATTTTTAAATCATTGGGAATATAGGCATTTCTCCTATCAGCTGCAGATTGCACAGAGATGGCCATCAATTTCACAGAGCTCAGTCTGCATACATTTATGTGTTTTCCACCAAGGAGAAAACATTTAATAAAGGATTGCTTTCCTAATATAAGATGTAGGAATAGAATTATAATACAAAGTGCTTCAGCCTGAATCTGACACAAAACGAAAAACTAGCAAGTCTGTAAACTTAATGTATCTTTTTATATTTCAGAAAAAGTAACAGATATTTTAGAGTTCACACAGGCTATAGTTTAGTTATTAGTATATTTAGTATTTATACTTTGTAACATTCGTATAAACTACAGAGCTTTAAATATAAGCTGCAAGTATTTCAGCAATCTGACAGTAAACCATGTTGAACTTGGTATAATCTACATAGGATTAGACTGCAAATTTCACATACATTGTTTACTGTGCAGATAAGTCTAGTCTGAATACTGCTTTATCATAGAAAATCTCTTTAAAAGCACAATTTACCCTTTTTTGCCAGAACTAGTGTCCAAAACACATGAATGTCTTTCCTTATTTTGAAATGAAGAAATGAATGACCAATGTCTGCAGATAAATGATGTAAGAATCATAAGGATTGAGGTAGTAGATCGATTACACAAATAAATATTAGGATGTAAATCACATCTCAAAGCTCATTTTCAAATCAGTGTATGTATGTATGATCCCAAAAGTCAACCTTGACTTTTAATGATTACACAGACAGGTCCAGGTGCTTTTTTTGGAGGGTGGGCATTATTTCTTAAGTGGTTGCCAGTACTCTGTTACTTGATTTGCTATGTTGAATGATGTTATCTGAGTTGTCAAAGTTAAGTTATATCTTTTGTCCCATTTCAAGGGTGCTGTACAGTCAGATTAAAGCAAGCAGGTCCACATGTGAAAGTTCAAAACTACTGATTTTTTCCCTCAAGCCTATGCACTTAGACAAAAGGTTTGCACCTGGATAAAATTAGATAAGAGTTGATTGCATTCAAGGGGCTGGAATGTAGTCCTTTTGGGACTGTGTAGAAACTCTGCCATGTTTTCCCCAAAATACAACCTTCCCCGAAAGTAAGTCATAGATTGATTTTTACACCTGCGCCCAATATAAGCCCTACCCCAAAATAAATTCTAATTAAGGCCCCACCCATTCCATTGTGCACGGGTAAAAATTAAGCCAGGCTGGCATGGGGGGGTGGGGGGGGTGGAGCTGCCCTACTATTTAGCATTGGAGAGTTTCAGCCAGGCCTCGCACACCCTGACACTTGCCTTGCTGGCCCATTTCTTCTGCAGCTGATAACAGAGCTCCGGACAGACCTGGTGCCTTTTTGTATGGCAAAAAAATATAAGACCCGATCTTATTTTTTGGGAAACACAGTATAAACTGATGCCCTGCCTGACTCTTTTGACTCTGCTAGATGAACAAATTGTATTGAAAGTTATGTATTTTTGATCAGTTTGGTTCTGATCTGATGAAATCAGCTGCAGTTCATGAAAGCTTATACCTTGATGTTTGAAAAGACTTAGACTGCTACAGACTTCTGAATTTTGGCTATGCTAACATAAGCTGTCCTGCAATATGAATGTAACAAAGTTTTAAAAAGTGTATTCTTAATTTAGATACTAAAACTTGGAAAATTTCTTACTGCTTTGTATTTCAAAGCTCAAATTATAATTTGTTGCATCTTAGTTAAGCCAATAATTATATATAACAGAAGAAAAGCCATCCACAATTGTTTTGGTCTGGAAATCATCCTCATTGTTCTTTGCCTAATTGTCACTGAAAAGCCATTCTGTAAGAGATAGTAGTAGATAGATGGATAGGAAATATCAGCTAAGAAAGTTTGCTCTTTTTTAATTTATTCCCAGGGATTATAATAAACCAGCATTTTTTGTAATATCTATTACAATTGATCTTTTTATTTAATAGCTTTCAAGATTATTAGCCCAAGACCCCAATTAATGCTGTGTAGAAAAATAGGTCCTATATTGCCCCTCCTATCCCGTGGTTATACAAATATATACAAATGACTTGCCTAAACCCCCTATAGACATGTTTGACCTACTGTAGCTCCCACCTCTTACCTCTAAATTAATATGTGATAGCCAAACTCTGTGGAAAATTGTAAATTTATAACTTTGGGATGGGCAAAAATGTATTTCTACTTTATATTTCTTTCAGAAATGTGCCAATGCAGATTTTCTGAAATCAGAATTTTCTCTGAAATATACTTCACTTCAGCCAACTTTGGCAATTTCAAAGTTGTATCATATTTGCTTTGCAGATTATTTATTTTTTAAAAAATTGTCACCTATTGCCACATTCTTTTCCAATTTTAAAGTAAAATTATTATTCAGAACTTTGTGCTTTTTTCAAGGTAATGTTAAACCTCATAAAAAAGCCAGAATTAAAAAATAATACTGAATATACCTACATAATATCGTTAATGAATATGGATGCAGATTTTAATTATGCTTATTTGCAAGAATTTTTTTTCTTATTCAAAATTTCCTACAAAACATGTACCTTCTTTTCTTAAAATATTATTTACAAATCCCTAGGAAAAAATATTAAATTTTTGTCAAGGCACAAGCTGTCCTGATATATTGAAATTGTCTTTTCTTTAGCTGCTGTCGTTTAAAGAAAAAATCCAGAGAAAAACAATACCATACTGACTTTATGTCCCAAAAACGCCGATTGCAGGATTATGACATTAATCCATGTTTAGTGGTAAGTTGAATTCTTATAAGCAGTCATTATGGGTTTTTAATTTATTTTTCTGAAGTGTAGCTTAACATAATAATGTGAAAAATACTGCAAACATATAGCAGTTGACTATGTTTGTGCCCAAACAGAGACATGTATTCTAGGTATCTTAGTTTATATATAGAATGAAATGGGGCTGTGTTCCTTTAGAAAGATTGATCCAGGTAAACATGATTCAGAGAACAGTGGAGAGCTTGCTTTTTTTAAAAAAAAAGTCTGAAGGGATTTTCTTGGCAACAGCTTGTGAAGATCTAACGGGTGGCAGTTGAGGAGATGCCGGAATGAAAAGGATATGCTGTGCTGGGACATCAAGGGTGGCAGGAGAAGGAAGGTAAAAAGTTGGGAAGATTGGGATGGTAGGCAGGTGGGATATTTGCCACACTAGACTATCATATGTTGAGATAGCAGACAGACCAGAATGTTGATGGCTCATATTGAGGAGATCCTGTAACTACCAATATGTTCTGGGTTTATTTCTGTTGAATTGCTAAATCATAATGGTTTGGAAAAACTTCTGAACTTCAGTAGCTTGAAACAAAACATTTCTTGTTGACTTGGCCCAGTGGAACAGCATTTTCCCAGCGATATTTACAGTGTGCATACTCTTCGTGTTTCAGATTTGGCTCTGTACTGATGCCTACAATTAGAGAGCAAATACCTTTGTACTGAGCTAATATATGAATTCTATAATGTATTTGCATTTTTATCTTTATTGTAATACAATAAAACAACTATAAAAGGAATGAACAGCAATAATAAATTTAATTAAATAAATTAAAATTTAATAATGATGTTTTCTTTTTTAAAACTATGAACCAATGTAAGGCTTCTTTGAAGTTTCCATTTGCTATTAAACTGGTTTTGAAGTCTTGAGGATTTGTAGACATCTTTTGTAATGTTTAAGAAATGTTTATGAATTCAAAAATTTCTACCTTTTTGAAAAAAATAGACATTTAATATAAGAACATCCTGTTGAATACAGATTCAAAATCTATAGATTCAAAATCTATATTTGAATGCTCATTTATTCACTTGTTATAATATTGTATTTTATGTTATTATAGATATCCTTTGGTTTAAGTCTTATATTCATTGTTTTTTTCTGTCACATCTAGATGTACATATCAATTCTACTATTAGATATTTTACCTGGATTTATGGCTGTAATAAACTGATTTGATAGTATATAATTCAAGATCCATTATTTTTCTTTGATTTAGTTTTTCAAGATAAGTTAGCACAAAGATTAACCCTTTGCAGAACAAATAAAATAACAATTATCCATCTATATCTATAAATAACTTATTTCTTGATAATAGAATACTGATTACATCTAACAACTTTAAATACTAATAATCATACTAACCTATCTTTTATTAAATGTTTTGAAGGTATCATGAACCAAATATTTTATTTGCTATTGTAATTTATAATTTAACAACTTAAAATCTTTTAAAGATATTTATACAAAACTTGACTTAAGTCTAGTATATATGCAAATAAAACATGGGCTCTTCAGTGCTATTATAGTACTGTTTTTTAGCAACAAGAATTCCATGTTTCTTTCCTTGCTCTTGTATAAGCTCTATGAAGGAAGTGTACGTAGGAAGTTCTGTTAATGCCTTTGCTTCTGCAAAGAAATATCAGTTATTGAGTTCAGCTTGCCTTTTTCATCTCCCATCTTTCTATGAATTGAGAAATCAGTTGAAGATGTAACTTCTTTCTAAATTTTAATCATGATTTGTTATAGGTGATATCATATGATGTTACAAAACCTTCGAGCAAGCTTTAAAACACTCTAGTCAGATAAGGAAATTATCTTGTTTCTTGCATATTTCTTGGGATTCTAGTATATCCTTTAGATTTATCCATTCTATTTTAGTTTAAAAAAACCCAAAGAGTTTCCATCCTTAGCAAATTTGGTTGCATTTCTTGGTAAAAATATTTTTTGTTGGGAGAATTTTAAGATACTTATTATCTTAATATTTATAAAATTATAGATTTAACTTTTAGCCTAAATTTAGTTTTAATATCTTAGATTAATAGTTTAAAGAAACAGATAGTAGCACTACTTTTAAGTTGGATTTTATTCTAACATAATTATTTGTAAGATCATAGCCTTATTGTTTAGTTGCCTTTGAACAAATGAATATGGTACTCTTCCAAACCGTGGAGATCAACTACTAGGTTTTTATATTTTATTTCCTTTCATATTCAAGGAAAGCAATGCTTCTAGAAAGTGTTTGGAAGTGAATCAATCTGATAAGGATATGTGTGCAATCTATTTTTTAAAGTACAAAAATTGCCGAAAATTTTGGGTAAGTAGATTTGAAAGGCTTTTAAACAAACTTTTTCAGGGGAGCAAATAGAAATAAGGCTTTAACCTGTCTCTTGTCTATTTCTGTATCATTTTTTAAAAAAAAGATAGCAATATTAAAGTGTCAGATTATTGCATCATTATATCAATTTACATTATGTCTCTGAGCCCTTCATAGCCACAGAATCTAAAAAATGTTACTTCAGATTAAAATTTAAATAGTAAAAATTAAAATATTAAAATACACATACACAACAAATTAAAATAAACACGGAAACAATTTCTAAATGTCCAGGAGAAAATGAATAGTTTTCACTGTCATACTAAATGCTAACATTGTTTGATTCTTTGAACCTCAGGGGCAGACTAGTCTACAGAATTAGTGTACATTCATACTCATTTCTCACTGGCACTGAGATCTGAAGTATCTCATTCTGGCAGTGGTGGGATTCAAAACATTTTACTACCAGTTCTGTGGGTGTGGCAAGGGATGTAAAATCTCCAATCAGAGGTATTTGCCGGTTCTCCAAACTACTCAAAATTCCTGCTATCAGTTCTCCAGAACTGCTGAATACCACCTCTGTATTCTGGGCTGAATGCATCAGAAGAAACCTTATAGAATGTGCTGCAACAGATCAATTTTAAGTTGATATGCATGTGTGTAACTTGTTTGTGGTGACTGATCCAAAAAGGCCTGCAGTTGCCTCATTAGTTGACACTGGGCAGAGACTTGGTTAACTCCAGCCTTTATTTATTGAGCAATCAGATTATATTTATTTATTTATTGATTTGATTTGAGTTAAACAGCCATCTATTTCATACCAGTAAGTCAGATTCTGTTAACACAAGGGAATCTTAGAAGTTGCAGCTACTTTATCATGTAAAAAAAGAGGAGTTGACGCAGGGGGATAGTTTTTGATTGAACAGTATTTAATATTTTACTCATATTTTATTCCATCCAGCCTCCAGACACAGTTAATGATAATGACCACTTTTCAGCTTTGCCCATGGTGGAAATATATAATTGGATATTTATTTTAATACTTCAACCTAATTAATGAATCACCTGCCCCAGTGATTTCCTATAGAAGTTAAATTACATAGGGAACAATTCACAGCCTTTGGTATTCTATAAAAAAGTGACTGGGGTTTGACTGTTTATCACTATCAGCTGGAACACTCCACTCATTCCTCATGGGTCTAGGAAATTACTTCAGTTGATAGTATGAAACACCTTTTAGAGGAGGGACAGAACAAACACACTCTTTATATCTAGGTCTTAAAAGGTAAATAATGATGGGTGTATCCCAGTGCTTGCTTTGAAAAAAAGAACGCAAAGGTGATGAGAAAATTTCATTAATTTTAGTTCTGGTGAATTGATGCTTTGAGACCATATATCCCTTTTGTTAAGAAGCAAGCTTGCCATTGCAGCCGTTTTTTAATATATCCATCACATGCTCCCAGAAGTCCAAATATGGCCCCTTGCCCAGAGAAGTAGTCTTTCCTTCACTTAATATTATGGATGAAATTCATTTATTCCCATGTGGAAAAAAAACCAGCTGAGCATACTTTGATGTTATACCACTCTGTTCAACTAGAATCTACCAAACTATTTCCCCTTTTATTAAAAAAAAAGGTGACTTCTGGTAGATTATTGATGTTGAGCCTTTAGGCCTAACCACATTGTGACTTCATTCTAGTAGTGTCCATGTATATAAATCGGTGTCTATGCAGATAAAGAGAAAGTCAAAGCATGATGCTCTCTGTATAGTTCTGTCATGTGCAAAGTCTCCTGACTCACATTTCTATTAATGGCCAAGTTCCATCTCTAAATTATTGAGTGATGACTGTGTATCTTAAACAAGTGATCTTCTGAAGTTGAAATAGTATTAAAAAAAATAGGTACTCTAAATGACAGAGATAACATTTATTTTAATGGAGCAAGTCTTCTCCAACTACACAGCTACACAGTATTTTATTTGCTGAACTAAATATGTAAATATATTAAATATTTGTTAACAACAACATGGATTTAATCACAGTGTGTTATTTGTTTTCATTTCTAGCATGGGATTATGATGCAGAGAAGACAAGATGGAATAAAACCGCATATGCCTATAGCAGAAGAAAGAAAGAGAATCCTAGCTTCATTGGAAGGAGCACCATATTGACCATACCATTTTATTAATATTGGATGTGTAATGATTTTAAAATAACAGTATGCTTTATTTTATTTTAAAAAACTGGTTTCTTGATCGCTGCAATGCCACTATCCTTATACTGTATTTTTTTACAAAAAACAAAGAACCCTGAAACTTTAAATGTTTAAAGAATGAAATGCATTCTTATATGGGAAAAACTTGTAGAAATAAATAAGGTTTTGATTAGGAAAATTCATGTGTTTTATATTTATTGTACCACATAATGTCATATATACACGGAGAAAGGAATTCAAATGGATTACAGATAATGTAAAACTAGTTTTCAAATGAAATAGCTGAAAATATACCATATTCTCATAGATTTTATTTCCCAAGAAAAGGCAAAAGTTGGGTAATTTTAATTTAGATCAATGTATCATTAGTAATCAGTAAATCTTAATATCCTGTAATCTTAAAATTATTACTTTAAGGAGTGATATTCTTCACTATAATGCTGATGGTTATAAATCTTGATATTTTCACCTTTTACCTCAAGTCTGTCAGTTCAGTGGTATTAATTAACTAACATTTTTATTAATACATTCAGTTTGGTATACATCAGGACTTTCCTAGAAAATGTGCTATGTAGTATTTTCAAAAAGTTTAGGAAGAACTGGACACTTTCCACATGTCTAACAGACATCAACTTGTAATTTATATTTAAATGTCAGTATAGGTGAAATAAAAAATCACTGAATTCATATGAAGTATTACATTTAATGTCAGGATATCACAGCATTCCTATTGTTTTTTATATCTGTTGCAAAAATAGGTCACTAAATATATTAATTTTGGCAACATTTTTGTTCCCTCAATGTTATTTATGAACCTCTACAATCTTTATTTTTTAAAATAATTTCTTTAATTAAAATTATTTATTTATTTATTTATTAAATAAAAAATAAATGTTCAACTGAGTAGTACTTAAATGTATTTTGATATATTTGTAAAGTTCTTGAGAAACTTTTCAACTTAGTGGTTAAACTCCCCTGTTCATCTCTTGCTTATAGGGTATTATTTGAACATTATGAGGAAAGTCTTCTGCAAAGAACAGCCAGGTGAGCTGGGAAGTATTTGGCAGCTATTTGTTAAAGGGTATGTTGTATGGAAGGGTTAAATCAAACTACAAACACTTTCAAGAGTTACACAAATAATTAAAATGAATAGATTTATACATATCCTTCTATATGAATCTGTATCTGAACCATATATAATTATTTGAAAGGAAGGGGTGCTACATCATATTTGATCTTGTGAATTCAGCTGACAATACTGCAATCGTGTTGAAACAATAATTTTAAGTGTGAGTAGTTATACATATAAATCTTATGATTTTTTTAAAAAATGTTTTTTTTGATACTGATTAGAAACTCTTCTGTATTATTTACCAGGCAGATAAATTGAAATTAGAATGTGAAAAATTGACGGCAACATTTCAAACAATATTGAAACTGTTCCCATATTTAGTACAATTATTAAATAAACAATTGCTTATTATTGCACCATAATCCTGAACTCAACTAATGTGTCATGTGTCATCACAAAACTTTGGATTTTACATTTATGTTTTCTGTCTCGTTCAACTGTTGAATCTTCAATTTTTGAAAAGGGCATTATATAGAATTGGATTACAGAGAATTAAAGATGAAAAATGGCTAGAGGGAGGTAAAAAGTTGTCAACTATTCCTAGAATGTCTATATATCCAGTATTGGTGTGAAACGGTTGGTTGGCTTGATCTTTTAAAATACTCCATTGGTGATTTTACAGAGTATATTCATAAAATAGTTCAATTGTTTTTTACGATATCCTTCACTCCCAAGATTGTATTTGTTCAGGTCTGGTGGATGGAATGGGTCTATTTAGTTATGTGAAGATATTGGATATATGCAGCCTTAAGATTACAGATAGGGAAGATAGAGGATTTTTCATAAACCAGAGGATGTCGCAAGAAGATCAAGATTTGTTATCTATTACTATATTACAAGATATAGGCTACCATGAAATGGATTTAAGATACATAAAAACAAAAACTGAATCTTGGAAAATACCTAACGCATTGGAATCAATTAACTAAAAACTGATAGGCACCTCTTTATTTAGATATAGAAACAAATTAGATGGATTTATTTGAAATGCTGTAATTTGAATTTCTGCATGAGTAGGGACTTATATTTTATGACAATTATTATATTAATATATTACTAATATAATTATATTAATTATATTGTTTGCTTATTGATGATCTTACAAGAAAATTTGGATTAAGTCTTTCATGTACAAAAACATGGCTTGATCTTTTTTTCCTAGAATAAATTGTTATTAGTAAATGCATTTGTCCTCTAGATAATTAAGGTAATTTCAGATGTTATTAGAAATATGACAATGTTATATTGATATATGTAATTCATTGCAGAAAATAGTATGCCCACAGCATTGTCAGTGTTTAAATTACTAAATTTAAAAAGCATTTATAAAGCTTACTGCAACTCAAGTTGGCTTGCTGCCTCTTTAACAACTAGGTAATATTTCTGGATTTCGATGCTAAATGTGATCAGGCCTGGTTAATATTTGAATGGAAGGTCTCTGTGGAGCTGTAGAATCTAGGTTGGTGGGATAAATAGAATAGAAACCCTTCCCCACTTCCCCCAGAGTGGCCACTTCTATATTTTTGCCAAGAAAACTCTTGAGTTTTCTGGAATTGAGCTTAACATAAGAGACTATTTTTTACTCAAGTTTATGATTGCTATCCTGAAAGACAACAGTTCATTGTGGACAAAGACCTGAAAAAGTAACTGCAGTTGTATTTTTCTATTTAATTGTGTAGTATATACATTAAAATATAGAATTTATTTCTTAAGTCATTAATCTTGAAGTTACACTTCTATAGTGTACAGTGAGGTAAATTATTCTAAAATTATTGAAAATTATTTGTAGGTGATGATGTGGGTCAAACTGTAGATTTTTTTAAAAAAATAAATTTTATTAAGTTTCCAAAATTTTAATGTACATAATCCCAACTGTGAGTTGGACATTTGTTTAATAAAATAAAGTCTCAGTAGCTCCTGTTTCCCAACAAGTTTTGGATGTAAAACTTAAAGATTAAAAGCATTTTAGAATATAAGAAATATATCATTAGACCTGAATATATATGCATTCTTTTCATTCTTCCATCATTTTCTGGTTTCTGAAGCTGAAATAATACTTCCTTTTATTGCCAATCACATGCTTCTCATTAAAAGAGTTTAGATTTTTGTTCTGTAGTAGTAGTAGTAATAGTAGTAGTAGTAGTAGTAGCAGTAGTAGCAACAGCATGCATTTAGTAAACTAGAGAAAGTTAAAAATGTCAATAACTCCACTACCTCCAGTGTGTCAAGTCACAATTACAGTATCATTTCAGGAGAAAATACTGCAAAATGTAACTTTTCAAAACAAGTAGCAGAAATATTGCTGCTAAATAAATCTTATTTATTTTATTAATGTGCTTCTCTGTAGCAAATCAACTTAAGTTACCATGAGATTCCATGAGAATAGACTTGAATCTAGATCTGTTTTGTTTTAGATTAATATCTTAACCATTATGTTTTTCTAAGCTGAAGCTACAAATACCTGAATTATTTTGCAACCCAAAGTCATACAGTTAAGTCTATTTTCTCAGTCTGGATAAAGTCTTCATCTATGGCCTATATCCAGCCCATTATAAATTTCATTCACTGATTAAGGATTAGAATAAAGAAGAATATACAGTATTTCATTAACCCAGAATCTTAGTAAATATTCATTAAATGCCAAACTGGTTAATGTTGTGTTCACTCTGAACTTGGTTGTTTGCTTGCAGATGTTTCATTGCTTAATCAAGTAATGTCATCAGTATAAGTAACTCTGGGATTTGCTGCCTGTTTATGTACAGCAGCTTTCCCTGCCAGTGTGGGGTGCAGTTTTCTCGATAGTTCCTTGGTTATGATATTGTTTTCTGCTTAATTATTTGCCTGGTCTTAATCCCTACTTATTTCGGTGTTTGCTGTTGGAGAGGATGTCTTTTTGTTTAGCTTTTTTATTGTCTCTTTTGCATAGTATGTAAATATGGTTTATTTCTATGTATCAATTGATGGCTGATTTGTTTTAATGGCAAGTTTTCAGGAATTCTGTAGTGTTTTGGATTTAGCTTGGTTTAGGATGCTCCCTTTCCCAGTGAAATGTACACTTGCATCTGTCCACATATTGTAAGTTTAAAGAGTTTTCATTATGTCTTCAGAGTTCTAGTTCATGGATGCATTCTGGTCTTCTGTCCGTTTTAAATAGTAGCTGTTCCAATCTTTTTACATTGTATATTGTAGATGTGTCTTGGGCTATTGTCTTTTGGTTTATTTAAGATGTTTTGAAGGGTTTTAGTTGGTTTGTGTGCTGCTGTGATGCCATGTTGTTGCAACAATGTGTTGATGGTTTCTAAGATGTTTTTGATGTGTGGTCGTCTTATCTTTTTCAGACTTTATGTTGGTTGTGGTTTTAATGGTCAGGCATTTTTTGATAAAGGTGTGTCGGCATCCTTTTTTTTTTTTTTTTTTTGAAAGATGGTCTATGGGTGGTCTGTTTCATTTTCTGGTGTTCTGGATTACTGTAATGGTTTGTCCTGTTCTTTTTTATTAACATATAATGAAGCTGCTGGTCATCTGCCAGCATGGATTGAAGCATTTCAATATGCTTATATACTCATGGTTTCTGCCCAAGGACAACCAATTGCTGCTTTTTAAGTCCTTCATGTCTGGAAGCAATAGGGGGTGTAATGGGATAGTAACTTTGAGGAACAGGAGGGGGAGTTGCAGCCAAGACAAAGGTCAGATAAAAGAAATCTGAGTCCAAAGCATACATGTATTTTGAGAAAACATTTCAGACTTGATCCTTCCTAGTTTTTTTAGGATAAAGACAGAGAAGAGGCGGCACATTCAGACTTGCAGTATTTTGTTTCATTCATAACTTTGGCTTCCTTATCTTGGTCTACCTTAAAAGTGCTGACAAGGGACCTGGATATGAAAAAACAGGCTGCAATTCAGCATTAGAAAGACCAAGTAGGTATGAATTTTAGAGCTGCCAGGATTAGGTGATTGACCATCTTTAGTTCTTGATGGTATGCAGTACCCAAACTGAACCAATGTGCAACTTGTGAGATCTTATGATCTCATGTTTTTGTGGGTAGCAGCTGTGTCCAGAGAGTTTTCTAGTTACAACTTTGCACCAATTGCACCCTTTCCTAAATTGGTGGTATTGCTCATATCCACCTATTACATAATTATTGCAACGTGATCTAATTGGGCTGTCTTGAAGAACCATCTGAAAATTTTAGCTGATCGATAATGTAGAGTCACAGGCAGTTATGAGCACACCACTATATCTAAATATTATATCTAATGTGTAAACTGCACTGGTTCTAACTGGGCTTAGCAGTATTTAAAAGGTCCTGGTAGTCGCCTCTAAAGCCTTTTGTGACATGGGGCTAGGGTATTAGGAAATGTCAACTAATGCAACCTGGTAATTTTTTTTTCTGTTATAACCCTTGTCCCTTGGAATGGGTCTATGACAATTCGCCATGGCCAACTTGCTACAGGACATCTCACCACAGCCATCTCACAATAGGACAACTTGCTGCTGGACAAGAGTGACACTAATATCAAAGAAATGGTGGAATATAATCATTAAAGAAATTATGCAAAAGGAGGAACAGAATGAAATGTGAATGGCAAAAATTAAAATATTATCCGTGGTGACTTACCTAGTGGCGAGTTAGTCATGATGAGTTGGCCGCAGCAAGTTGACAGTGGCAAGTTGTCCCATTCTCCCTTGGAACACCATACTTCAGGAAATCCAGCTGGCCCGACTCTTCTGGACTTCCATAAAACTTTAAAACATGGCTGTTTTCTTTAGCTTGGAGGTCAGGAGGCTGATAAGCTTGTAAGATGCATGTTTTTGTTGTGACAGTTGTCCTTGGCTGCCACTATATATTTTATTGATCCTGTTTGGGTTTTTGTAGTTTTTAACCATGTTATCTGCCAAGTGTCATTAAAATTGAAGATGGGTATCTATAAATTGCAATTAATGTGTTTAACTGTTAGAACACATATAGAGTTGGCAGATCTTTTATGTTATTATATTTCTTTGTAATAAATGAGACCAATGTATAGTTTAAGGTATTATTTTTGAGAAAAAGCTTGTTTTATCTTTGTTTTAAGCTACTTTTGTATTATTTATCTATACAATATACAGCTAGACAAAGAGAGAAGCTGCCTATCACCATTTCAATCTTAGAGACGAAAGATTCCAGAAAATAAATGAAAACACTGTGCTTGCTAAATAATTTTGAGGAATGATTTGACAGTAATCGCTAAAGAATATAATTATTGTAAGCGGAATTTCAAATTTAAATGTAAGCCTTTACTGGTTTCTTGGACTAAATTGATCATGTGATTATCATTATTTTACTTTTATGAAATAATTTTATCAGCTTAGTTATCTAAAGTTACTGAATAAATGAAAGAGATGATATATGTTCTGTGTTAGTTGAAGGCCTAATCTCTGGAAATCTTTTCCCAGATCAGAAGCAGAATTCAGAAAAAACAGATCTATTCTTCTGAAGTTTCAGGCCTATGAATCCAGCCCTAACAAGAGTTTGGAGTTGCATAGACTTCTCAAACACTTAAGATAAAACTTTTATTTCGGACTAGCTCAAAGCAAAACAGTAAATTCTTTCAACATGGGAATATAATTCACTGTTAATTCTACAGCAATTTAAACATTTGGGTGTGGTGATGGTGGTGGGTTTTGTTTTGTTTTTTTGCATTTTTCAACTTAATTCTGCCCTATACTTCATAGATTTGAAGTCAATAAGTTGATCCAACCTACATCTATTATCTGATTTCTCAGACATAAACTGGAATAGAAAAAAACCAAACTATGGCAGCCACTTCCCTTTTTCACTGTGATGAAATAAAATTAGAGATATAAGACAAAGCATTTTATATTTCACAAGAACAGGCGCAATAATTTTCATGTGAAGCATTTGCATAGAATAAATTCTATAATATTTTAATAATTATAAACAACAGTTTAATGAAAGAAAATGAAAAAACATGTTAAACATTTTGCCAAGAGCACTGAATCAAAATGTTCATAAACTGGTTCCCAACAGAAACAGATTTCACATTGAAATAGATGGCCTTGAAGTGCAGAGTGTTAGTAAAGAAAATGTTGATTGCAGACTGCTACATTACACAATTTAAATTTTGCTAATATTAAAAATGTTTTTAGTAATTGTATTTTAAAATAGATAATTTAATTAGATAAAGGCCTGTGATTCTTATTGGGGCATATCCAAAAAGAGGTCTAAATATTCTTAGTTGTGAAAAATCTGAGCAATAATTGAACTCAAAAATATTGCTGGTGCTGCAAGCTTCATTTTGTATCTAAAATGCCAAGTTAGCTGATCATGGCTGGATACCCTGAAACTAAGATTTTTCTACTACAAGGTCTGGAAAGCCAGAACCCACAAGATGTTCTCATTCAATTTCTAGGGAGCAGTTGTGGTATGTTTGGGTCGGGATAATATCTGGGTATTTTGGGAGAAGTCACAGGAACCTCTTCTCATGTAAAGTAAAAAAACACAGTCTCATTATCAGAATGGGGTAATTAGACTCAACTACCCTGTTTCTCCAACAATATGGCCTCCCCCAATAGGAAGTCCCAGCATGTTTTATAGGCGTGAAATGAAATTAAGCCCCACCCCCCAAATTAAGGCCTATATTAAAACATGCGAAATGGGGGGTGGTGGTGGTGGGGCTTGCCGTTAGGAAGTACTTTTGTTGCACACCCGGATATGGTGCTGCCTGCGTTGACCTCGATACAAAGTGCCCCACCAACGTCAAGGTCAACATCCAAGCTGTTGCCGCCCGCCCGAAGATGCAAGGGGGGGGGAATTAAGTCACCCCCGAAAAGACAGCCTAGCCATTTTTTCAGGGCTCAAAAAAAAATAAGACCCAGCCTTATTATATGAGAAACACGGTAGGTCTTCAACACCCTCACCTTGTATATCATAAGTTTATTATTAGTTTATTGTTTTCCTTGTTTTGCCAACAGTTCACAAAAAAAGTAATTTGTTCCCTATAATTAAGTAATTTTATTGAAATAAAGCATCACTATTAGGTTATATTTCAGTAATTGTAAAAAAAACTAGTTAAAATTATTCATACCCTGTTCCCAGTATTTCACCTGTTGCTAGTAAGCCATTCCACATTTGTTTTAAGCGTAACCTTTGCAACAACGTAATGAAATGGGAAGTTCTATATATTGGCTTCTCAATGTATAATTAGTCAAGGGAACCTGGAGGTTTTATTGATTTTGTCCGGTATATGTACTCATCAGTGTTCTTTGTTCGACCTTTGAATCTATTCATAACTTTTAAAATTCCAAAATAGTCATAAAGGATATCAAGCGTTTTTGCAGGAACAATGCTAAAAAGAAAAAAGAACATAAATCACTCTATACTGTATTAAACTTTTGAGTTGCTGTCAGTTTTGCTACATTGGTGTTATGCCAATTTTGCACATTGTTTAAGAAGCTAAACAATCACTTAGGTGAGATAGACAGTATAGAAATTTAATAAATAAATATTAAATGCAAAAGAAACATAAAAATTAAAATTGATAACATAGCAGAAAACTAAAATTGTAGACCCCAGATAATCTGTAGAAGCTAAGAAAAGACCCTCTCAATCATATTAAACACATGACGGCACATAAGAGATTTAATTCCCTTTGGAACAGATGTCTATAACTCAGGTGGGGCCATACACACATGTAAACCCTTCTTAAGTATTCTATACAGTCTTTGATCTGTTATTGATGAAACAGAAATGTCTTCATTTAGATTTCCCAATTTTCTTTGAGATGTTGAAATGCAAAGTATATAGAGTAAAACCATCTAACCACTCTCTGTTCTATTTTGATCCACAAATAAAAATACACTGATATATTATACTTGGATTCATGCTGTTAATACCTCTGCAAACTACTGCCTCTGGTTTACTAAGAGTATGATTCAGGTATCCCTTCTCAGAATTTAGAAGCAAAAAAACCCTTTTTATTTCTTGTTCTTCAAATAATATGGTTGTTCTCCCCCCCCCCCCCCCCTATTTTGCATATAGGAATACAATGCTGGTTGAACTGTGGACTTTCTTCCCTTAGGAACAATGTCCCTTTTATCCAGAAATGTTAACCCTATTCCAGGGCTGAATTTACAGTAAAATTCATTCAGGCTCTGTCTCAAACAGAAAAGAACAGCCTTTCTGAATACAAGACCAGAAGGAATAATCAATATACTAACTCTGTAAATCACTTAGCAAGGGCTGTAAAACACTGTGAAGTGGTATATAAGTAAGTGCTACTTAACTGCTATCTTGTCCTCTGCTGAGCTATCACTGAAGCAAAGGTTATATTGCAGATTTTTAATCTCTAGAAGTAATCCCATCCCATCCAAGGGCCAGCCTTCTCCTGGTGGAGATACTTACCAGGGCAATAGGCAATACCTGAAGATAACCACATTTCAATTTTGCTTTGAAGTGTGACTGCAGGGAAGCATTGGAGATAAGCCATACTGGTTCTGCACTGTGCATGATACTACTTATTTTATGCTGCTGCAAGCAGTAAAATGTGCCTTCAACAATATCTTAATTACAATGTGGTATCTGAATTTCTGACATTCTCTCTAGAAATTATTCTATTTTAAAGATGCTTGCCATACTTTTAATCTTTTGCACCCACCAGGTTTATTGCCTATTTTTTTAAAAATTACAATATATTAACAAACTGCAAAGCAAAATACCTATTTCTAACAATATATGCATTTCCAACTACGGCTCTGTGCCCATCATTTTTTATATTATTGGTAAAGAAAAATGAATGGTTGCAAACTAGTGCTTAATCTTCCACCCAAAAGGGCAAATATAAATGGAAGTAGCATGGTGAATTCTGCAGCAAGACAGAAGGTAGAAGACAGGAATACAGCATCTTGTAAAATCAGTTTCACCGCTGGATACATAAGCCTCTTTTGAATGGAATATTCTGTAAAACTTTCATATTCCCATGAATATGATTCGATTTTCTTTCTTTAAAGCAACAACAAAAACAAAAACACTGATGGTGCCTGACTTTAGTGCATAGGTGCTGCCGATCTGGGGTCTGTGACAAAGCTTCCCCTTTACCTTTTCAAAACAAAGATTAGTGGATATTGCTTCAAGTTAAACGAAATAAATCTTCCCAAGGCCTGCCCTATGGCATGCGTGCCACAGGTGGCATGCAGAGCCCTCTCTGTGGGCACATGCACCATCGCCCAAGCTCAGCTCTGCCGTGCATGCCTCCCACTGACCAGTTGGTTTTTGGGTCTCTGCCACGCATGCATGGGGTACATGCACTTGAGGCGCATCGGGGGCGTGCATGCGTAGGGGCACGCACATACATGGGGCACGCATCTGTTTCATTTGGGGGGGGTGTGCTTGCACTTTGGGCACTGGGTGCCGAAAAGGTTCGCCATCATTGGTCTATATGCTTCACTGGTCTATATGCTACACTGTTCTTTGCCCTGTTTTCTATGAAGTACCATTCTCCTATGTTTCAGATAGACTTCACTCAGCATGTTCCTTATTTGTTCTATTGGATGAAAGTATGTATGACACTGATTTCTCATTGCTTTTTTTTTTTTAAATATCAACTATAGGGGAATCCATCTTTTTTGTACTTTTATATGAAACTGAACATCAACTTTAGAATCTGTTCTAAAAAAAGAAATGGTGTCATTTTATGTAGCTTAACCTGGTGCCCTCTTTTATCTTTCTGAATAATTCAGTTTAATTCAATTAAAATAATTAAATTGAAGTGAATCAATTTCCAAAATAAAATTAATCTGCATAAGATTTTGTCTAATTTATATATGGGTAAGAGCTCTTTCAATAGAGCACAAAATTTGGTGACTTTTTATACCACCTTTTTGTTGTTCAGTGTTCCTTTCTTGACACACACATTTTCAATTAGTTCTAGCAGAATAATCTTACCTTTTTACTACATTAAACAACTGTAGTCTTCGTGGTATAAAGATATATCGTTCATTTCGGAGTATCCCAGACACAATTCTTTCAACAGCATATTCTGGATCTATAATGGGCAGCAAATGAGGCCACCTGATGGAATAAAATATCACCACTTTGAATTACATTTTTTCTTGATTTTTGTCTGTAATAGCAATTGAACATTAAAGCAGTCATCAAAATATGCTTGCAACCAGCACCAACCAACTAATGAACATTGTTTCCCTCTTTCTCTGTAACCCCAATATCTTCTTTTGCTCTTGCCCTTTTTTTTATATGTGTACATGTAATACAGATATGCTCACGCTATTACAATAATATAACTTACTATAATAAATAGTATTCTAGAGCAAAACATTAGAGAATTAACAATTGCATATTTGAGTTAACAATGGATAAAACATTTGGACAATCTACATTTATTAATTTTTTGTATTTCATCCTCAATTTGTCACCTGTATTTTACTCAGTTCTTCATATGCCTTCTCGATAAAAGGCTTTCAAGCAGTTATAATTTATATAAATAATTCCCTCAGTTTAATTTTTCAACCTTTGTCAAAAATTGATTTTAGATTTGGTTTCTTGTCAATCCAGCAAATTCCTTCTATAATATTTTAAGGAATTTATTATATGTCTGTGTACTTATCTACCTTCAACCATCTATCATATATGCATATTTTCTCATTTGGCTTATTGTACTGTTTTATCAGAATCTAAACTCTATATATTCTTAGGACAACGTTTTAACTTTTTATAGGTAGTTTTCTTAATTCTAATGGAGTAATTTGCAAATACTTCATTAATAAGCATTCAGAGAAGCATATCTAACATTGCAAATGTGAGATTTCTTTTGTGTATTTAGCTGACTAAATTAACATATTCCAGTATAAAATATGTTGCTAAGAGTATAGAAACATCCCATCCATAACAGGTATGGCTCAAGCATTTTATACATGTAAAGAATCATTTTACCAGTTTTTTACCAAAACCAGATTTTACCAATAAAGGAGAATATTTTATGTTCAGGTTTGAAATAGCAATAGAATTATAAACCACCTCATAGTACTTTACAGCACACTCTAAGCCAGTGGTCGCCAACCGATGAGCTGCAGCCCACTGGTGGTCCGCGAGAAAATTTTGGTGGTCCGCAGAGAAATGTCACCCCCAAAGCATCCCCCAAAACAATCTAGGCTGTGCGGGAACACAAGTCTGCGCCGCCCACATGGCCCCTGGGAACATATGGCCCATGTCGCTAGCATTGTGAACAACACATAAGGGGAGAGGGGAAAGTGCGAAGGGGGGAAACTTGTCCAATTCGCCCCACATGCCTGGTCTGGCCACCGGGCTGCTTCTTTCCACTTCTTTCCTCTGCTTGTGGCTGCACGCAAGGAAAGCAGCAAAAGTTTCTTTCTCTCCCTCAAACTCCGCCAGAAATGAGTCTTTGGGCATCCTGTTCTAAGAGGCTGCACTGGCAAAGACTCATTTCTGGTGGAGTTTGGGGGAGAGAAAGAAAGACTTCTGCTGCTTGCGTGAAGCCAAAAGTCTCTCTCCCCCCCTCAGAACAGAGCTGAAAAGCAGGTTAGGAATATGGCTGCCTTGGAGGAGTGGGTGTGTGTGAGGGACCTGTGTGTGTGTGTGTGAGAGAGAGAGAGATCATCACCGCCAGCCCTCTGAGGTTAGATTGGATCTCTCTCTCCCACCAACCTCAGCAAGCCACTGTCAGTCAAAATTCAGTGGTCCATGGGATTTAAAATTATGAGTTTAGTGGTACCTGCGGTCTAAAAGTTTGGTGACCCCTGCTCTAAGCCGTTTACAGAGTCACCATATTGTCCCAGCAATCTGTCTTCATTTTACCAACCTCCGAAGAATGGAAGGCTGAGTCAACCTTGAGACAGTCAGGATTGAACTGGCAGTGGGCAGAGTTAGCCTGCAAATACTGCATTCTAACCACTGTGCTACCACATCTGAGGGGTCATTGGTGGTCTCTTTAATTTGGTTGTTTTCTATAGACATTTCATTATCCAAACGAAATATCATCAGTGCAAGAAAGGAGTGGGTTTGCTTTCAGTTTATATACCAGTGGCTTGCCCCATCAGTGTTGGTGTTTGGGAGTGGTGGTCTCGGAGGTTTTTTTAGTTGGGCTGTTTACTGTTAGCTTGTCTGGCTGTTCCTTGATTAGGGTATTATTTACTTCTTGATTTTCTTGGCCAGATTTTCTCTGCTGAAAGATCTGGTAGGCTGAATAAAGCAGTGGAACTTTGAACAAAGGAAATCCTGATACCTTATGAACTTTATCCTCCAATTCTGTCAGTGAGAAAGGATTTGATTTTTCCATTGAGCCAGTCACCATAATCATCCCTTTCTGCATGATTCACAATTGAACATGTAGTTGCTTTAATAAAGCATCTTCTCTTGTTGGCTTTCCTTTTGGGGAAAGTACAAGATGGCTGAAACAGAACCAGTACTGAGTACCCCTCAGAGTATTCATGCTCATCCTATATCTTAGTTACTAAAATATTACTAAAAGTATTGTGAGCAGGACCTCATGACCAAAATGAGTTCTCCAAAAGAATGTACTTCCATGTATGTGACATACAACAGCAGTCTTCCAGATGTGTGGACCTTAACTCTACAAATATCAGAAATGGTTTCCGGTAAAGAAACTGGGAAAGTTCATATACACAATTGGTATTAAGGTTGGAAAATGCTGTAGAAGACCACGTTCTGTTATATTTAAACCTGTCATCACTATTTTTATTCAAACCTGTCATCATTTTATGTAATCATTTAAGGACACACACACACACACACGCATGAAATACAAACAACTCACTTTGTTTCACAGCCTTCAAACATTCCAGTGTTCACTAGATATGGACAGATAATTGTAGATTTTACACCATTCTTTTTCATTGCCATCATCTCTAAAGCTAGAGATTCAGCAAAACCCAGAGCTGCAAATTTACTTGTACAGTAATCTGAAAAGTGAGAAAGAAATAGAATTGTATGTGCATGAAGCAGAATATTCTTCCTATAAAATATGTTGGATATTACACATAAGCATAGCTAACTGAATAATCAATGGCAATTGGCATCTTTTGTTTGTACCTTCAGAGGTCTATTTCCTATGTTTACAACATTGCTGCTAAAAGGCTGGGAATTTTGCAGGTAAAGAAGGCAGTCTCAGATTACAAACTCCAAATTTCCAACTTTCTTAATTACTATGCATAAATATTATACTTAATAGCAATAGTAACTTTGTTATCTTCTGTCTCATTTTTATGATTAAATGTGCTATATCTAAAAATATTTGTGGGGAACCTCTAGACAGTTCTTTCAAATATTAATGAAATGTGATGGAACGAATAATTAAATAAATTGCCAGCCATCATATTCACTGTTTTTAATTCAATTATTTGAAGTACATTACCCTAATATTTTTTAAAAAAAATTCTAACACTTCTATAACTCTTGATTACCCTTTCATATTTCTTCTTTTTTCCTACTACAGTCTTTTGTTTCTTGTTCAAAGGAAACATTGACTTGTAACAACAGTTGCTAACTCTTTGGCCTACCTCAACTATCAAATTAAGAATTTTAATTAAACTACTGTATCCATTAAGTTTAAATGTTATTTTTAATCTGTTCTGCAGCACTTTTGCCATATACTAACCTGTCATTTTGTTGACACCATAAAAGCCAGCTGCACTTGAAACAGTCACCACATGTCCATGATTAGAAGCTACCATGGCTGGAACAAATGCTTTGACAGTCTATGACGAAGAGGTAAAAACAAATACATTTCAGCATATGAACATATAAAAAATAACTATTTTTTAAAAATTGTAAATTTCACTTCAAAAATGACCTCATCGGGTAGATACAATAATATTTCAGAGTTTCTGAAAAGTCTCCCGGTCTTCCAGTTCAGCTATGTTTCATTTTGTTCTCTTCTGGAATGGAGGTGACCAAGGATGGATCTATGTGGTGGTATCAATCTCTTCGAAAGAGGGAAGGGCATATTCTCTCCTCAAGAGGTCATTACTAGGATCTCTCTTTTTGGGATAATAATCATCCAGTCTTCAAATTTACTTTTGAGGAAAATTTTGTGCAAAAGGTGGTTGGACCTTAGCTACAAAGAATATTGGAGGAAACAGATTGTCTGGACTTGTTTCAGTTGGATTGAGATATAGTATGGAGAATGGGTTGGTTGTGCTTGTTGATAGTCTTTGGTGAAGCCAGGATGTGGTGGATCTCAGTGGCTTTCAATACCACTAAACATGTTATCCTGGTATCCTTCTAGACTAGCTATGGGAGATGGAAGTGGGAGGCATTGACCTCCTTCCTCAGATGTCAGTCTCAGTCAATGTTGACAGAAAGACCCAGGGCTTCTAAAATGTGTACCTCATTACTATAACAAATTTAAATAATAATAACAGAATTTGCAGGCTATTATTTATTGCAATAACATCTACCGTGTTTCTCATATAATAAGGCTGGGTCTTATTTTTTTTTGAGCCCTGAAAAAATGGCTAGGCTGTCTTTTCGGGGGTGACTTAATTCCCCCCCCCCCCTTGCATCTTCGGGCGGGCGGCAACAGCTTGGATGTTGACCTTGACGTTGGTGGGGCACTTTGTATCGAGGTCAACGCAGGCAGCACCATATCCGGGTGTGCAACAAAAGTACTTCCTAACGGCAAGCCCCACCACCACCACCCCCCATTTCGCATGTTTTAATATAGGCCTTAATTTGGGGGGTGGGGCTTAATTTCATTTCACGCCTATAAAACATGCTGGGACTTCCTATTGGGGGAGGCCATATTGTTGGAGAAACAGGGTATGTAAATACTAAGTACTATATTAGAAGGCAATTTGTTAGATTTTGCTATAGCAAAATATAATTATTCGGTTCCAGAGTAGATTTCTAATTTTATCAAGAAATGTTAGGCTGAAATAGAATACATTCAGGAGAAATAATATTTACATATTTCACTATGTAAATAAATAATAATCATTTATGAGAGTATACCGTAGATTGAAAATTTTATTTCTTTACAATTAACCCAATTTAACATTGTCATCTGCATAATAAACATTATAAGCCATTTTTAAAATTCTGCACATTTTACATTTCACTAGGGCTGTTACATTTATCAGTGGTTTTAGTTTTCAGTTAGTTTTGCTATTTGTTCATGGTGAAGTGTATTGTAGTGTATTTATTGTATGTATTAAATACTATTTTATCAACAGTATTTTATTAAAGTGATATCATTGCTGGTTCTAAAAATAAACATGTTAGTTTATTTTGCAAGGAATCTTCTAATTAAGACCAATGAAAAAATATGCAAAAGATTAGCCTTTTGCATTATAATACTCTTGTAAAATCTGAACTTTTGATGAATACTAATACATCTAATCTAGCTCTGTTTCAGAAGTTCAACAGTACTTTGGTGTTGAATAGTCAAAACTTGGAGCCAACTTCCAGTGGAGGTAGTAGGTCAATCTTCAGTAACTGAATTTAAATATGCTTGGAATAAACACATGTCTATCATATAACAATCAATCAATATAATTTAAAACAAAACAACCCCCCCCCAATTGGGCAGATTCGATGTACCACTGGATCTTTTTCTGCTATATGTTTCTATGTTATTGCTGTGTTATGTTCAAATTTAAATATACAGCTAACCGCAGCTATGATTCTTGGTTTTTTTAATAGACCACTAGAGGGCATCAATAGCAAAAATGCAGGCTTTAAAACTGCATGGAGTTATTGATGAAGTTGCCAGGAATCAAGACTGAAGTCAAAGGTAGAAACAAAGAAAAACATTTTTGAATATCTTTGCTATGGAGACAGAAGTCAAAATTTTTGTTGTTCCTTGCAAAATGCTATGTATAGAGAAGCATGTCTGAAAGGTTTTTTAAAACCTCTAGGTTTTTAACCTGTGATTGCCAACAGCAATAGCTGATTGTGTGAATCTTAGTCAAAATCAACATCGATATTACCTGCTTAAACGATTGGTGGCCTTCCAGATTTTGGGTCTTTTTTCTTTCCAAAATTTGTTGCATACTGGCTTATAGCTCATATACGCATGGCCAATAATCAAGACAGTTAGGTAATAAATATCCTGCCCATTTTAAGTATGTTCACCCAAACTTTCAATTTGTTCCACTAAAGTAAATTTTGTCCAGCTGTCACATGTTTACAATAACTATACTATTCTTCTTTTATAGCAGAACAAAAGCCATAAATCAGTACCAATATGGCCTAGGTTAGAAGTGGGGAACTTTTTTTCGTTATTTTCAGCTTCTCAAGTTGAGTGACAATAGTTGAATAGAGAAGGGTTAAAAAGGAACGTGCTTTAGAGAAAATTATACAGCTTAATTTAAAAAAAAAACCGGAGAAACAAATTATTAAAAATATAATCTTTTGTCGATCAGAGAAAGTGGGCTACAAGCACTGCAGGTTGAAAGGGGCTCATTAAAGTATTTGTGCATCTTAGAGATCACCATATAGTCCTTTTGTGAAAGAAAATGATCCCATCATAGTAGAATTACTCCTTTGAAATTATTGAATCATCTTCTAAAAGAGCCTTTGTGTAATTCTTATAGCTTCTTCACTAGGATAGAAATGTATTATGTGGTGACAGAATTGATTGGATGCTGAGGACAATGCTATGCAGAGCTTTGAAAATGCTTATGAGAAACAGGATTTATATTTATGATTTTCTTACAATTATGTTAATGTGGTCTCTCTTGCCCCTATCTTCTTTCTTGGATTCCATTTATTTGTTTACTATTTAGAAACTTCATCAGAAGCTAGTGAGAGAAGATATTCTACTATGAAATCATTTTTTCTTATTGTGCAGCAGATGATGAGAAAAGACAAAGAACTTTCCAGGAGAGGTCTATCTGTAAGGCCATTTTTACTAATAAAAACACAATTTAAGTTCATACTGGATATACTTTCACAATTAATCAAAAATCTGTTACCCAAAAGTGTGCCATTGTGTTCACTTGAATACTCTTCTCTAGAAGCATATCTGGAGTGTCTAAAAACATCCTTCCTGTTATGATGCCAGCATTATTAATCAGGATACCAACATCACCAACTTCCTTTTTCACCTAGAACAGCCACAGAAAAGCCCATTAAAACAATTGTAGTAAATTTACATAATTCAAAAGAAAGCACAGCTACAAATATCTTCATACAGAGATCTTCATACATTTGCATTAAATATGCCATCAGACATTACATGAAATGGAGGCTCATCGACTTCCGGTTTGTCGGCTTCGCGAGCGGCAGGGATTCACGAAGCTGCGCGATCCCTGCTGCGCTAGCCGTTTTTGGGGCTCCGATCCGGACGGGTACGGAGCTAGGCTGCCCTGCAGGGGCAGCTGAAGGTAGGGGGGATCCGGAGAGGGGTTTGGGGGTGTTGCAGACCCCCTTCCCGGCCGGCAGAACCCCCTTTTCCCAAGACGGTGCAGCGGCGGTCCGTAATGGCCGCCACAAAGAAGCTGGCAGCCGGGTAAGAATGCGCAGGAGGAAGTGGAGAAAGTTTTTCAAAGGAGAAAGTTTTTCTTGGTTCCTAGGACTCTAAGACATATTTAACAAAATTCCTGAAAAGTATGATTTTCTGAATGATACCTTCTAGAAGAGGAAAAAAGCGGCAGTTTGGTGGTGCTGAAAGGAAAGCTTACCCTCTTTTCCTACGGAATAAATAAGTGGATATTAAGAAACCTATTTCTTTTAGGTGAAAACTGGCTTTAAGCGATGAGTGGGAAGAGAGAGGACTAAAAAAAAAAATATTTGTATGCTAAGACTTTGTTGGAGGAGATGCCTTAAGGATTTGAAGACTAAAATATATTGCAATAAGATCTTAAGAAACAGATTTGGACTTTCTTTTTCTTTGATTGATACTACCCCAGGAGGAGAAAGTGAGAACTCTGCCTTGGTTTGGACTGATTGATAACTTTGGGACTGTTTTATTTTTTCTTTGGAATATTCTGGTTGTTGTAAGAAGAAAGAAGGGGAAAAGAAAAGATTTATAATGGCTCTTTCTATTGAGGAACTGAGAAAAGACTATGAACAAGCAAAAAAAAATGGTAAATCTGGTTTGAAAGAAGCCTTCCTTTTTTTAGAAATGGCGCTTATTAACTATCAACAAACATTACAACAGATGAAGACAGCAGAAGAAGAAGAAGGAGAGGAAGCCATTTTTATTAAACTTCAGAACTCGACCAAGAAAGAAGGAAGAGTGAAAGGAAGAGAAATAAAGGACTTAAGATTTAAAAAAACACTTAAGAAAGGGAAAAATAAGGTGCAAAATCAATATAATGATAGTAAACAAAAGGGAAAAGGAACACGACAGAGAAGGGAAGCCAGTAAGGCAGAGGCTAGAAGAAGGGGGGGTAGAAAGGTTTGTTGGGAGAAGAAAGAAAGGGAAAAGGTGGAGAAAAGCTACAAAGTTTTGAAATTAAATGGGAAAAAAGGAATCTTTTTTAGGGATAAAGTATAATTTCTTCAAAAAGATTTTGCAAGGTACATAAGATGATATTGTAGTATGGTATTAGAAATAGAAAACTTAAATGGTTTAAGAGTTGACAAGAGATTAAAATGTTGAAATGTTTAATAATGATTGGATTTAAAATTTAATAATATGATGGGAGGTTTAGAATATTGAGTTTCAATTAAAGAGTTTAATAAGATTATGGTATTGATATTATAAAATTTCTATTATAGTATTTGTTTTTAATATTTAGATTTATTGTTTAACTATGTATTTAATTACTCTGGATGTACTATTTAGATAGAATGTACCAAGCAAAATCGGATTGGGTATTGGGCGTTATTTTAAAGGTTAATTTGATTAATTTAGGGGGGAGATAGAAAGGCATCATACTCTGATTAGTGATTTCAGGAGAAACTTCTTTTTTTTTATAAGGAACGAGACAAAGGGACAATAAAGAATGGACAAAAGATACAAATATAATGACTCAAATTAAGATGATTAATTAAGATAGAATTAAGAAGAGTGAAATATGTGGAGAAGTTAATATAGAAGCTTAGAATGGTAAATAAAATAAGTAATGATATGTAAGATGAGCATGAACATAATTGAAGTCCATGAAGAGAGAGATATCTGGGTCCAAGTTACTTTCCAAAAAGATTTTTTTTATGTTTTATGTGTTGTGTGTATATGTTTTTTTTTGGGGGGGTGGGGAGAATTAATAAAACCGTGCAGAAATATAGAATGAGAATAATGGTAACTAAGTCAGAAAGAAATAGATGAAATAATAATAATGAAATTGAATAAGAGTAAAGAGAAGTAAAGAGAAATTGGACAAGAGGTTTTTGTATGTTTATATGGAAATGGTTTAAAACAGAATTATAGTTTATCTGACTTGTTAAATTTATAATGGAAAAAGGTTTAAACATGTAATGGATAATGATGATTTGTGTTTTGAAAATTAATAAAACTTGTTTTTTAAAAAAGAAATGGAGGCTCATGCTTATTTCACCTGTCACCTATAGTCACACTTCACTGTTCAGTAAAGTAGACTTCTTTAAAGTTTCAAAGAATAGAAAAACACTGGGGCAAGTTGAAAAATATTTTTTTTTCTCTGATTTAAATTTCACCTTCATTCCCTTCTATTCAATTTATCATTCAGCATTAAGGATCTGTGGTAAACTTAGGGTCTTCACTGCTGTTTGAAAAGACATCACTAAGAATTGGGATGCAAGTGTTTTATGAGCAGAAGGTCCAAAATGCTATCCCAGAAGTCTCCATGAAAAAGACTTATCTGAATAAATCAAAGACCACAAGTAGTATTAAAATGACATAATGATGTCATGCATGCAAGTAATTTGGAATACCATGTCCAGTCCTCAGATATTTCTGAATTTCAGCTAGCAGAATATTTCACTATTGGTCATGTTGGCTAGAGCTACTGGGGATTCTGGTTCAACATCTGGAGGACTACATATTATGCACTCTTATAACTGTGTTCGAACCTATAACATGATTTTGATTTTATAAGTTGTATAAACTCAGACACGGTACTTTATAAATCATGGTCTATTGCCTAACATGCTGGAGCAATCCAGTTTTAAATGAACTATAGTTTAATGCAATGTATAATTCCAGTGATTTACAGATGCCATGTTAGTAGATGGAACAAATGTTTGATGGTTAAATAAAATATTTTATGTTGTACAAAGCTATAATTACCTGGCCTGCCACTTGATAGACTTCTTGCCTTTTGCTGCAATCACAAATGTAGTCATGTACTCTCACAGCCCCAATTTTACGTGCTAATCTAGCTGTTTCTTTGATTCCTTCCAGATTAATGTCCCAAAGAACTAAAGTGGCTCCAAGTCGAGCAAATTTTAAAGCCATCAGCCTTCCCATTCCACTTCCAGCTCCAGTTATAAGCACTATTTCACCAGCAACATTTTTCTTCTTTGCATAGATGAATGATAAGAAAAACTCCATCAGATAATATATACACAGCAAAATTATTTTGAGCGTTTCCAAGAAGAAATTCATTTTGGAGATCACGTTTCAGATTACCTGTTGAATAAAGTCAAAACAAAAAGTGACTTATGCCAATTTTTTACACTTATGACCATTATAGAATCCCCGTGATCACCTGATCAAAATTCAAAAGCTTGACAACTGATTCATATTTATGGCTGTTGCAGTATCCTGGAGTCATGTGATCCCCTTTTTGTGACCTTCGGACAAGCAAAGTCAATGGAGAAGCCAGATTCACTTAACAACCATGTGACTAATTTAACAACTGCAGTGATTCATTTAACAAATGTGCCAAGAAAGTCATAAAATGGGACAAAACTCACTTAACAAATTTCTCACTTAGCAACATAAATTTTGGGCTTAATTGTGGACTACCTGTACAGAATTGTAAAATCACTAGCCTCCAATTAACTACAGATTGTTTTTATTACTATACACAATTTATACTAGTAGTCCTCAAATTGCAACTGAACCTGCCACTTATGGTTGTTAATTTGTGACAATCATGAAGTATGTCATCATGTGACTGACTCAAATTCCTGAACTTTTGGCAGTGGTCATTAAGTGAATGCCATGGTTATTAAGTGAACCAATTGTTTGCTATGGAGCATTCTTGCACATCAATTTAAGTTTAGAACCTCCTTTTGAACTGAGAGTTATGCTGAAAGACTTTCCTTGTTTTTAACATGTCTGTTTTCATCTTTAATGTTTTTACTGATATTGTCATACTGATTATTGTTTCTTCTAACTGCACTCTTAAATTCTTTGACCAACCCCTGAGAATTTTATCTTTCTTGGTTTGATTTCTCTTCTCTTGAGAATCTCCAGTTTATTCTAACAATCCTATTTAGTTTTCTTCTTTTTCTTCATTTTTGGCAGATACTTTTACATTCATCCTTAATAACTTCCTTAAGCTCATTCCATAATTCATCTGTCTCTATAAACAAGGTTCAAAGTGATTCTTGATATTCTCCTTGAAAATGATAGGTATTTGTTCAAGATCATATCATAGAAACTGCCTGGCTTTCTTCTTCTTTAGCCTAACTTGGAACAATTCACGTCAGCCCTCCTAGCTAAACTACATGGGAAACATGACTAGATGAACTAGTTCTACTTTATTGTAAGATTAGCTTAAACAGAATTTTGCAAGTCTAAAAATATACTTTTAATTACTTGATACATTAGGGTGGCTCCTTCCTAAACCTTATTTCTCTGATAATTAAGCCACTGGGAACTCCTGCCTCTTATCTGATCTTAGCAACTTTTGACCTTGTTCCTCAATGTCACCCACACTTTCCATTGCAGTCTGAGATCTGTTCCACAGTCAGCTTCTGGCTGTTTTGATGCTATAATTGAGATCCTTCATTTCTTTTAAGAATGATATACTAAATGTTATTTCTATATACTCCACCTCGTGATGTTCATGTATAGATGTGTTTATCTTGGTTGTTGAAGATAATTCAGCACTTTCATGCTTAATTATAAATAAGACACAGCAGTATGATCCAGTAAACTTGTGAACAAACATTGTTAAATATAATTTTTAGTGGTCCTGTTAACCCTAATCCTATATATGGCTTCTTTTTCAAAAATGAAAAGAAAGAAAGAAAAGAAAACTTCTCTAAACTGTCACCTGGTCAGCTAAAGGTAATATTTATTTACTACATTTCAGCTCAATAGCCAGTTTTGTAGTCAGGTCAAACAAAACCGTATTCCACCAGTTTCAGAACACTGTCTAATATTTTCCTGATAGATCCAGTTTCTGAAATCATAATATATGAAACTGCTCAAAATAGAAAAAAAATGAAACCATGACTTTGGGATTTGCTGATTTGTTTGTTGTTATAGAAGTGTCTAGTACCCTGTCCAGTCGGTGTCTGACTAGAGGGTAGTGCTCATCTATGTTTCTTAGCTGAGACAATTCCCGTGGTCATGTGGCCAGCATGGCTATACTCCAAAGATGCACAGAACTTTCCCACTGAAATGGTAGTTATTAATCTACTCATATTTGCATTGTTTCAAACTGCTAGATTGGCAGAAGTTGGGGCAAGTAAAGGGAGCTCACACCATCATGTGGTGCAATATGTAAAAGTGAAAACACAAGACTATAATTTTACTTTGTACTAAACTGAAAAAATGGAACTCTTATGCTTTCTTATCCTACACTCCCTCCTTTTCTTCCTTTTCCATTTCTCTACTATCTTTCTTTGGATGTGTATTGTATATTATGATAACCTTAATACAAATAGTGCAACATACTAAATATACAATATAAACTACATATGCAGTTTGGTGGGAGGTAGTTATGCCACCTGGTTAGAAAATGATGGTTTTTAAATGGGAGCAGAGATATGTTTGTATTTTTAATATATTGAATAGGTTTGATTTGTTACCCATCCAGTGTTATACTGTATAAAAAGGAAGGACCTTATACACCCTTTAACTAAAATAAACCCAAAGCCAAACATATAGATTAGGCAAAAAGTTTATCTTTGCCTCTGCTAATTTCGAAAAGATCTGGCCTGACCATAACTTGTGAAAAAACGAGAGGAAATTCCCTCTCACTAAAAAGGAAATGCTCTTGTATTTTACCAACCATTTCAGCCAACGTAACTCTGAACTTTGGATTAAGGGAAACAATTACATAAAGAGCACGAGGGCGAACCCGCAGAGAGCGGACCTTTCTCTTCTTCCACGCTCCCTCCCCGTGTGCAAGTACGCAAGTACATACACACACACACACACTGAAATCCATTCTACAATATTCTTAAGGGTCTCTCGGGTCCTAGCTCTGAGCGTGAAGCAACCACAATCCTCAGCGTCCCAGAGCTACGCCGTAGAAGCTTTTCAGCTAGTCATCGGCCCCGCGCACCGACTTACTCTGCTGTTTTACTCCTCCCGGCTCGAGACCTTGCTGAAGAGAAAAAGATTACGCCCGTCCTGCAAACAAGAAGGCCGCCACAAAGCAGTATCGCCGGCGCAGATTCTCTAGATGGCGGTCCAAAGAAAACCCGCCCATCTACCCCAAAGGCGGTCCTACAACCTGCTCTATGGGCGGAAGACTGCTTAGTCTCATTGTTAGTCTAATCTGCAGTTCCAGGAGCGAATTTACCTCCCTCATTGTTCAGCCAATACAGTGGAAAGGAGAAGTTGACCGACAGGGGTCGGTTCTCCAGGGGAGACGGGAAAGTCCCCTCAGCCCAGTTATCCCAACTTCGCTGCCGAGAAAAACAAAAACAAAAACAAAAAACAACCGAGAATACCGAGCGCCCCCTTGGCAGCGTGGTAGGTGGCGTTAACCCACTTAAGCATCCCTTAAAGAGGGGAAAATACTCGGCACCGCTCGGGTCTCTCGTTTCTCTTTGCACAGCTGAAAGCTTGAGGTATCGCTGTTATAATTGGATCCCTGCCAACTGGCCACAGTACTTGTTTGTTCTTTTAATACTCTTCACACTGCGCTAAACCGACACATTCTGTGTTGATCAGGTGAATGTGCTTGAGGCAGTTCGCTCAGAGCAGTCGCCTCTTGGCACTTTTTTTTTTTTCTAAACAAGCTTTATTCAGTTTTCCATATTTTAACGTCTCTTTTTAGTGAACAGCATGATTACAGGTTTCACATATACATACAAATATGACCATGGTTACATATTCAATTTTTATATCCTTATCTTAACAGTGCTTTTATACATTTTCTATTTTATTGTATTATTCCAAATATTTATCTCATTATTTAATTCACTTATGATAATTCATAATCATTATACTTTAGTACTTTTAACTGTCACATTTGTATATTTCATCTTAAATTCTAATTTAAAAAGACATTTCTTCTATAAATTGGTTTCCCCCTGAAATCTCAATATAAGTGCGCCATCTCTAAGTTATAAATTCATTTATTTTACATCTCGTTGAAACATTTAACATTATTACCTAAAACATTAAACTTAATAATCCCTTTAAAACTACATAGCATATATAAATCAGATTCTGCATGATTTTTCTCCTGTTAAATTTCATTAAATTTCCCCCCGCAAAAAAAGGACATATTAATCTTCTCATTCAAACAGTAAAACAATCCTAAGCCCTAAAGTTAATTCCATTTCAGCTCTCCTCCTATATCATTTCATTTATTTACATATATTTAATACACATATTCCATTAATTATTCCATTCATATTTAAACCAAAAAAGCCAACATTCCAATCTTAAAATATTTCAATATATCTAATATACTTATTCCATTATTTGTTACAATTATCTCTCTACATAAAGAGGAAGAGCATTAGATTCCATTATCCAAAAAATAACAATTCTGTTTTTCCATCTTGTCAGTCTGTATGTCCCTATTTCATAACTATAAATATATTTATGTTACCCCTCAATACCTTGCAGAATCCGCTTTCTATATAATAATCACCCATTATCTCTGTGTCCAATTAAGGATTTCCCCATTTTTTTACAATTCCCATATTTCTTTGTTTCCAAATCCTGTTTCTTGTCCCTTCTTTCCCCCTGTCTTTTCTCCTTTGTTCTTTCACTCCAGTTTTTATCCCTCTCTCTATTTATAGCTTCCTTTCGCCCTTTGAATTTCTGCTGACTCTTTTTCCCTTTTTTAATATTTCGGATATTCCCCTTTCTATTTAATTTCTTAAATCTCTGTATTTATTTCCAACTCTTTTCTTCTTTCTTTCAAGAGTTCTTGGTTCTCGATGATCACTAAAGATAGTCTCTTCTATGATTTGCTCCACCTCCTCTTCTGCCTTTTGTCTTTGTTGTTCATATTCTGCTGTTGCATTTTCAATAAATTTTAAAGCAAATCCCAGCGATTCACCTCGTTCTTTTAGTGTTTCTTTCATTTTTCTGAGTTCCATTTTTAATGCCAGAATAGAAATCGCCATTTTACAACTTTCTGATTCACAATTTAATCCAACTAGTATCTTTAAAGTTTATTTCCAACAGTCAACTTTTCTTCCTCTTAAGTTTTTAAGTCTCCGCTAATCCAGTGCCAAATTCATGTCAGAATCAGCAACTAATCCAAAGGCAGAATCTTCCTAATTCTTTCTTTGTTTCAATGTTTCAATTTTTCAAAGTTCTTGCTTTATTGTATCAATTTCCATGCAATTTCAAGAAACAAGAGTTTTTTAAAAGAAAAACAAGTTGAGTTTAACTGAGATGGCACTCTTTATTGTGCTAAGTCTTCACCCCATCTTTCCTTTTTTCTTCTCTTTTATTCAGAGCTTTTTAAACCACAATTTTCCAACAAGAAAAAGATCAAATCCAGTTGATATTAAATTTCCTCTTTAACAATCTATAGTTCAGCTTTATTAGTGCCAATATAAAATCAAAGTATACTTATCCAAGTTGATTATATAGTTCCTTCTCCAGCTTCTACCTTTTGCAGTTTCGAAGCCCCAATGCTATCAAAAGCAATTCACACCTTTTTTTCCTCTCTTTCTCTTCGCCGCTTAGATCCTTTCTTAAAGATACTTTGAAATATTAATCCTGGGGGTATCTTCCATTTGATTATATCGTCCAGTTCCTCCTGCTGTTCGCTTCTTTCTCTCTCTCCTGCACAATCTTATTCCAGTCTAATCTTCCCCTTCAGGGTGGCCATTTTAGACCACCGCTTCAGGCGTCTTTGGGAGGGAGCAATTGCCAAGCCAGGGAGGGGATTTATGATTCCCCTCTACCCAGCTGATGGTCTCCCCTTCCTCTGCCACCCCTACGAGGTAGCTTCTGCCCCGAATCCAAAGGATTGGGGCTCTCCGACGCTGAAGCACTAACCAAAGCCGTGCACGATCGCGGTCAGTGGTCCGTCTTTGGGGAAGCTCAAACCAGGAACTGCCTCTTGGTACTTTCTCACTGTTGGGCGCGAGGTCCAGTGGAGGAAAACAGAAAAGACACGCTAAACATAGACAGTCAGAAAGAGGAGTGTGGCTAGGGAAAGACAGATTCAGACTTAAGTTTAGCTCTTGAAACCAATCCCCATCATCCCACCCCACCCCAAGCACGGGGTTTAAAAATTTACCTCATAACAGTGATACAGCCTAGCAGTTTATGATCATTTGGAATTTAATTAGTCTAATTAAACTCTTCCCAAACTTGAATAATTAGGCTGAATTATGTGCCATGTGACCAAGTGAAAATGCAAAATGAATTTCAAGAAAAGTCGTGTTGTAAGTCATGAATATATACAGTATATATACAGTATGTTAGCAAAGATGAAGATTGATTTTAGGTGATGCAACTCAATGGTTAAGCCAAATTACACCAAAAGGTTGGAGAAGGTAGAATTGTCAAAATGTGAAGTTTCAGATTATTTTCAGCTAGCTTGACATTATTGCCATGGTAGAATAATATGATTTACATAATCTAATATCACTTGTGCAATTTCTTCTTGGAGCTTGTGAAATACCAGTATTGTTTTCTTCAAGCACCAGAAAGCTACTTATTGCTGTATGTTATGTAATATTTGTTTTAGCACACCTTGCAGATCATATTTTTTTCTAATGCACTAACTATAGAACAATAAGCTTCATAACTAATTGGTAAATTTATATGTGAAGCATCTCTGTAAAAAACTCTATGATTAGTTAAAGCAGGGTAACATCTTGGAAGATGAATAAATAGGTTTTAGCGAAGGGAACTTAAATCACTCTTTTTGGAGAAATTAAAAGGAGAAATACTTATTAAAATGCGGGTGACAGACACATATATCTTAGACAAACTTCCATTCAGTACCTTTTCCATATTACATATCTGTAACTCTTAAGAAAAATGTAATCAATAATCCTCAGCATCTGCCTACTGTCCCAAAAGCAAATCAAGTAGTTAATTTGGTGTAAAGGCTGAGAACTAGCAATTTTTAAGTCAGAAAGAATAACTATGAAAACATGAAACAAATATTTTAAATTCTGATGGCCCAAAAATAATACCTAAAAGTTGTTTATTCAAAATGGCAAGAGGAAATGGTTTAGGACTTAAGACTTGGAGCTGACATTGACACAAATACATACTCAAGGCTTGACTTCTTTAGTAGATAACTTTCTATGTATATAGCAATAATACATATATTGTGATATACCTATGTGTTGTGGCCCCGATTCCCGAGCCTATGCTGTCAGAGGAAGAAGACCTGGAAGATGAGGAGGAGGAACTGGGAATGCCTTCCTCCCCAGGACCTTCCTCTCTGGCAATGCCTTCCTCCCTGATAATGCCTCAGGTTTCATCAGACAACCGAGAGGAACAGCCTGAGATTAATCAGGAGGAAGGCATATCGGAGCAGCCCCTGACAGGGAGTAAAGAGGAAGAGTGTTGGCTTGATCCTAAGCAGTGTCATAGGGAGAAATGTGAGCAGCAACGTAGGAGGCGTGGGAGGGTCAGAGAGTGAGCTGAGTCATTGAGCCACACCCCACAGGGGATAAAAGTGGGTGTGTTTTCGGCTGGAACTTTGTATGGGACAAAGTTTAATCTTACTTCAGATTTTCTTCATGAATGATTTTTGTGGACTGTGAGTTTGTATTCTTTCATCTTTTGGGAAAGAAGAAAAGTGAGACAGAACACCCATGTATCCATTAGATATAGAACATGTTGTAGTATTTCTAGAGAGTTAAGACTTATTGCTTTAAGAGTTCATGTAAATTCTTATATCTAGTACTATTCACTTTATATAATATAAAGGTTGGAAGTGGTGGAATTCAATTTTTTTTTTTACTATTGGTTCATGTGGCTTGGTGGGTGTGGCAGGGGAAGGATACTGTAAAATCTCCAGTCAGAAGTGGTATTTGCCAGTTCTCAGAACTACTCAAAGTTTCTGTTACCGGTTCTCCAGAACTGGTCAGAACCTGCTGAATACCACCTCTGGGTTGGAACACTCCAGAGATCATCTTGTCCAATTAAAAGTTTCAACTATTGTACTATTCCCAGCTGAGGGCCATTCATCCTGTTTAAATACTCCCAGTTTTGAAAGAGAGTCCATCACTTTCTGACATTATTTTACATTATTGAAAAGTTCTTATCTTTTGGATTT